TTTGGGCTATTTTATGGGAGATTTTTTTCGGGGGAGTCTTTTGGGGGTTATGAAGGTGGATACTGACTAGGAGTTCAGACTATAGCTCATCTGTCCATCCAGATCTCACAGGGATGGTGGTATACTGTATACTAGTCTACCATTAGGGTTTAGGGTTTAGGGCTTTAGTCTACTCAAATTGTTTCCACCGCCCGAAGCCCCTAACTAGCCTTGCGCCCCAAACCCAAAGCCCTAAAGCCGAAGCCTCAAGCCCCAATCCCTAAACCCTGAACCGTTCGGGGCAGTCCTAGACTCCCGCGAGGTGCCATCTGCTACAAGCTTTTCCTGTTGCATCCCCAAATCAAATAAAACTTCATAACCCTTTCTCGGTCCTGTTGGCTCAAGTATCCTAAGCCCTAAACCCTACACCCCTAAACCCAACAGAACTCTCCATTATTCCGCAAGCCCTAGGGAGATCTGGATGAGGAAGATGATTGAAATCCTGGTGTTGCTACAGGTTTAGGGTTTTTGGAGTGTCTAGCGTTTACGGCTTCGGGTTAGGGGTTGAACATGCCCCCACATCCTAAGCCCTACGCTCTACGCCATAAGCTCCCAAACCTAAACCCTAACTGCAGTCCCTCAACCCCAAACCATCCTAAACCATCCGCCCGAAGTCGTTTAGCCTTGAAAAGCCATTGCGAAATCAAAGCCCTACTAAACTAGGGTTTAGGATTCAGGGTTTATGGTTTACGAGTTAGGGTTTAGGGCTTAGGGCGGGGCAAGCCCTAAGCTCCACGCTACCCTTTGATTCAGGTTTTATGAGGGTAGTGAAGGGGAAACTTTTGGGGCGTGGTAAAATAGACGTTATTCTCATCTTGGTAGCGAAGACTCAGTCACAACCAGGGTATCCTATGGGCCCTTGTCAATATGAGTATAGATAAGCCTGTGCGCAAGATACCTACCTCCCTAGATTATCATACTTTCCATCGCATATGCCATGTTCTTTTCCATGACATGCTCCGTCGTTACCCTAAGACCCAAATTGTATTCAGGAAGTCTGGATGAAACATACCTAGTCCTTTCATACCAAGACTAAACCCACACACCACAAGATTGCATCTTGTGTATTGTGGGGCATATTCAATATCAGGGGTGTGGGTTGTTTCGTGTTAGTATGAGGGGCTCACAATCTCTATAACTCCTCTATACAAAGCAGTTTCTTCTGTACTTTCCATGCAGAATTGGGGTCGTACTCCAAAACCCTACACCCCAAGTCCTAAACCGCAAATCCTAAGCCTGAAATCTTGAACCCTCAGCCCGAAACCCTAAACCTTAAACTATAGCAGTTAAGCTTCTCGAGGCGCCTACAATAGCCGAAGCCATTCATAAAGGGATTTTGGTAAGCCCAACCCCCAAAATCAGGACCCTATGACTATCATATGCTAGTTATGGGGTCCTTATTTTTGGTGTTGGGGTTACCGAAATCCTTAAACCCTAAATCCTAAAACCCTAAACCCTAAAACCCTAAACCCTAAAACGCGTAGCCATGGCATCCCCGAAGCCCGCGTTGAAAAGTCGAGCCAGCAGAGTTCAGCAGCCGAAAGCCCGCCATCCAGGCACAACCTGTGCACGTCTCTAGGGCTTAGGGTTGAGGGTTTAGGGCTTAGGGTTGAGGGTTGGGTTTAGGGTTCAGGGTTTAGGGTTTAGGGTTGAGGGTTTAGGGTTCAGGGTTTAGGGTTTATACGTTCCACAGGGACATATAGGGAGCACGTCATGACATAGTGATACGCCAGGGATAGATGGGGATGTATTTAGGGTTGAAAACCGGAGGATGAAACTGAAAATGAACTGTGATGAATTATAAGTTGTAGGTTTCTGTAGTTTGGGGATACTACAGTCCCAACACATATGGAAAATGACTGTGTCCTCCTTTCGACCTTACTTTTTCAAGGGTAAACTCATCTTACTTGGTTCCACCACCACTAAATACTCCTCCATTGTGCTACTTGCTTACAATAATCCCCACATGAGCGGCTAGAATCATTATCCTAAACGCTAAGCCCTCAACCCTAAACCCTAAGCCCTCGACCCCAGGCCCACGACCCTAAACCCAATGCCCTCAACCCTTAGCCCTAAAAGCCCTCAAACCTAAACACCTAAGCCCTCAACCCAAACCCTAAACCCAAACCTTAACTCTAAACCGTAGTCATGTTGGGGGAGGGTTCCAGGGTAGTTTCACTTCTGCGTGAGACTTCCCAGATACCCATGACAATAGCCTACGGTTAAGGGTTTTTAGGTTTTAGGATTAGGGTTCAGGGTTTAGGTACATGCGATTATAGCAGGTATCTGTGATGTCTTGGCGGAGTTTTAGGGCTCAGGGTTCGGGACCCCTAAAACCCTAAAACCCTAAACCCTAAAACCCTAAAACCCTAAAACCCTAAAACCTAAACCCCTAAACCCTAAACCCTAAAACCCTAAACCCTAAACCGTGTGGGGGTTAAGGTCTGTTGAGCTTGGGTTTTAGGAACCGGCTTTGGAGTATACAGGGTCGCTCAAAGCAGTTTCCCTTCCTAACAGACAAAGCGTAGGGCTCCATAGGCTTAGGGCCTCCCAGACCCCCTAAAGGATCCAAAAAATGGAAGCCCTTTAAAGGGGTTTATAGGGGTCTATATAGGGGTATATAGGGTTTAGGGTTTAGGGTTTAGGATCCAAAAAATGAAACCCCTTAATAATCCCCCTAGGTTCCCCAATGTAGTAATGGAGCCATTTTTAGGGGGGTTTCATCTTTTGGATCCTTTAGGGGGTCTGGGTTAGGGTTGGGCCCTGGCGGGGTGATTCGGATTTAGGGCCAAATCCGAGCGTTTTGCTTGAAACCCTAAGCTCTGAACCACAGATTTGCTCCACTGCATGGGTCCATCCTTCCCTTCCCTACTACCAACCAGGCAGATACCTAGGAATCCCCAACCTTACTTAGTCCTTCTTGGCACTTGCACAGTCTCCCTGAGGTTCCCGAGTGTCTGCCCCTCTTTGACCCACCCCTTCTAAAGGGTTTAGGGTTGAGGGTTTCGGGGGACCTGATAAGCTTACTGGAATCGTTCTCAATCATCCTACGTGCGGTGGCCTACCATGATTTCACACGATTCCCAGGCATTCATGCGTGGCGGCAGCAGAAATGGCAGCAAGTGCTCTGAGTAGTTTCTCGCCACGGCGTCCGGAGTGTAATGAGTAGTATTCAATTTGGGGATATTATGGGACCCAATATAGAGTAATATTATATCCTCCTTTTGGGGTATAGTATTTTAGATAAGGAATACTATCTTACTGGGTTTAACCACGAAAAACACTACTCTAATGATGTGCAGAGCGTGCTGTAGCATTGCAATGGCTCAAGATTGCATACTCAGAAATTACATCCATAACTGCCATAACCCACATTGGGATTATAAATTACATATGCGCATATAGGGACTACATGGGGATATACACGGGGTATAAGAGTATATTAGGCGTTAGATAGCACGGCGATCCCTTTTCCGCATTGCCCCCATGGAGCACTTGTTTTTGCCATTGTGCTCGTAGCTCATAGCCTCAGACCGGTGACCCAGGACACAGACAGACAGAGACACACAGACGGAAACACGCTGACCGACCAGAAACGTAGCCAGAAACGATGTTGCCGCTGCCACTTCATCAACGCAGTTTTCCGCTGCCTGCGCCAAGACTCGTCGAGGGCCGCCAGCGGAGCCCGGCAATCTGTCCCGGTTGCAATCAAAAGGTGGCCCCTTTGGCTCTTCTATATTACTTATTACCCATTATGGTAACTTAATTTCAGTTCCTTAATCCTATTCCTTTATTCCCCTATATAACCCTTTTATAATGTGTTTCCCTTTATATTCCTATATTCCCTCATATAGCCCTTATGTAATGTGGTAACTAATATAGGTAACTTCCCAAAATATCCCTTGATTCCCCTATATAACCTCATATAATGTGGTAGTTCCTTAACCCTAAACCCTGTATATCCTTATATTCCCCTATATCACCTTATATAACCCTTATACATCCTCGTATTCCCCCTATATGAACCCTATATAGCCGATATATATCCCCATATTCCCCTATAGAACGCTATATAACCCTATATAACCCCCTAAACCCTAAACCCAGGGAGTTTTGTGATAACAAAGGTTCCTTTGGCTCTGATAGCGGCTTCCTGCCTTTTTCAGGAGGCAGGGCCAAAAGAGCCCGCGCCCGGGTTAAGGCAGAAACTGGGCTTGCTGTTAAGGATCTTAATGTAAGTTACTACATAATAGGGGAGGCCTAATTCTGATTATGATTATTATTGTTATTCTTATCATTCTTATATATACCCATTAAGGTAACCTAACTTAAGTTCCTTAACCCTAAACCCTATAAATCCCCATTAATTGTTATATATACCCAGTATGGTAACTTAACCCTAAACCCCAAACCCTAAGCCCTAAACCCTAAACCCTAAACCCTAAACCCCAGGAAAAGGAGGGTTCGGCTCGGACAGCGGCTCCGTAGCTCTCTGCTGAAGGCTCGGAGACGCTGGGGGCTCGGCTTGGTGAGATTCGTGGTCGCGCTGGTTGTGGGTGTTGCTTGGTTTAGGGTTGAGGGGTTTAGGGTTTAGAGTTTAGGGTTTGGGGTTTAGGGTTTAGGGTTTAGAGTTTAGGGTTTAGGGTTTAAGGGACTTAAGTTAAGTTACCAAAATGGGTATATGTGGTAGTTAATAGTGTTTCCCCAATTAAGTTACCATCATGGGTGTACATGTATATATAGAAATACATCTACATCTCTAGTAGTTAATAGGGTTTCCCCAATATAGTAACTTAATTTAACTTACCAAAATTGGTATATATAGTACTTTATAGAGCGTCCCCAATAGTAACTTAAAGTAAGCTCCTTAACAGCATCCCAGGTTGAGCTTATGGCGGCCCAGGATGCTGAAACTGCCACGAATTTGGTACAGGATTGTCTGGAGGCTGCCAGCAAGGGCATACAGGACTTCACTGGAAAGAAAGACTACAAGTTCCTGGGTCCTGCTTGGAAATGCTTGTGGATTTCGAGGAATCCTAAAAGCTACAAACCCATACAAAACGCAAGTTAGAAATGCTGATTATGGCCCCAAGAGTGGTCCAGGTTTGGAGACATCACGAAAGCTGCAATGTCCAGATTTGCAACCGGTCTGACATCCAGTGTCAGCTCCTACACTGGCAAGGAGAACTACGAGTTTGGCGACATCACAAAAGCTACGGTCTCAAAGTTCACCGGGAAAGAGGACTACCAATTCGGAGACATCACCAAAGCTGCTGCAGATAGGATGTCCGGTGCGGCAAGCTCGGCAGTCAAGCAGATCACCGGGCAACTGGGTTGTTTTCAAAAGCTGTTCTACTTGGACAACTTAACAGGTGTAGGTTTGAAAATGCTAACCCTTATATCTAATCCCTATAAAGCCATAACAATTTGATTTTTACAGCGCCCCCAAACCTACCTGAGTTAAGCTTTTCCAGTGGGTCGCAAGAGTTTCTGGGGTCATGGCTTCCCTTGATAGGCTGGTAGGTTTTACTACCCAGGATATAGATGGTCCTAACAAGTCAGGAATATGTTTTGAAGCCTGTAGAGAAGGCATCTTCAAAGATTGGCGGAATACATATATGTATATATATATATATACATATATACAGCGGCCCCCTTCTGTAACACACCCTATCTAATCACAATACAGTATTCGAGAAGCAATCGTTCTAGAGTTTTTGGACAACCGTAAACCCTACACCCTAAACCTTTAAACCCTTAAACCCTAAACCCTAAACCCTGAGACCCTAAACCCTAAACCCCTACACCTAGCCTAGGAAGGACGACTATCAATTCGGTGACATCACCCGCAGTCTAGTTTCACGCGTCAAGGGCGCCCAAAAGGGCGAGGACGGACCGCAGAGCTAAAAGTTGACGCAGGGCATGCCGCAAGGGTTGTGAATGAAGGTCAAACTGCTAATAGTGTTAAGGGTTTCGTGGTTTTGGGTTTACGGGTTTACGGTTTAGGGTTTTAGAGCAAGAGTTGCAAAACCTGATGCTCAGAATATTTGGAGTCAAAAGCAAGTTCTAACGGAGGTATACATGAGGCATATCATGGGGTACATTATGGCGCGGGCTTTGGAGGGTGTCTTTGCATATGTACTTAGCAAGACTATTCATATTCCGGTCAGAAAAGCAAGCGCAAGTCACGGGAAGAAACTTGTGACGTGCGATAGAAACAAATTGGGGATGCCACAAGACCTGGCCCACTCTCTCTCTCTCTCTCTCTCTCTCTCTCTTCCTATTTGAAATATATGAGCCATAGCTTCAATTCTTCAAGGAGCGTCATATAGGGGACTACTATATGGCCTATTTTTGGATACTGGGTGTTTAGACTTTAGCTCATAAAGAGGGAAGTCGACTTGCTCACCCTTTCTCATGCCGTGCCCTTGATGGACTTGAAGGCAAGGTGAGGTCGGTTTAGGGTTTTGAGGGTTTAGGGTTTAGGGTTTTAGGGTTTAGGGTTTAGGGGGAGATTGTGACATTCTCTGTGTCTAGCAGGGTGCCTAAGAGGATGTGTTGAGAAGTGTCCGTTCGAGAATCTAAGAACACAACAGTGCAAGAAAGCCAGTCGTATAACAACTTGGTGATAACATCCACCTGACCCCACAAAAATGTAGAATATTGGTCTCTTGTGCCATATTTAGCTCTTTTGGGTTGTAATTTTACCTACTCTTGGGGTTCAGGTAATGAGCCTGAAGATTGTCGTTTCTTGGTGCAAGCTACTTGGAGTTATTCAGGATACTGCCAGCATGACCACCCCAATCAGATTAACCGAGAAGCACGAATCAATTCTAGAAGTCCAAGACAAACTAACCCTAGGGCTCCAGTTACCTAAATAATGGGAACTGGGTTCTATATACCCTATAGTTACATAGCCCAGTAACCTACTATTTAGGTAACTGGAGCCCTAGGGTAAGATATGAGATACCTTGCACTAAATACTCTGAAACCTCGGCTTGAGGGCCCAAAGAAGCGAAAGCACAAAAGACCGCAGGCCCTGAATTTGCGAACCTGAACCGCAACTAAACATCCTAAACCCAAATCCGCAAAATCAAATCTCTGAACCCCAGCCCTTTAATCTACAAACCTAGATCCCGTATAATGGGGCATCAAGCAAGATATTAGGGGATACTGGGTATATACACCCATTTTCTCCATGATGCCACATTATACACGAACATACCCATGATGTCACATTATACTCCAGCAAATCCTAAACCCAACCGCAATGGGCCGATCCGTTCAAGGCATGCTCTACAAGGGCATGCATTGCATCGAACCTCCTGTCCTTTCTCTGTGCTTAAGGAACGTAACTAAGTTCCTATACTGGGGAGCCCACAATAAAATCTATGTATACCCATTATGGTAACCTGAACCCCTAAACCCTAAACCCCATATTCCCATTAATTACAGTAATTGAGTTTAAGTTCCTTAACAGCAACCCAGTTCTTTGTGGCTGTTACTCGATTTCAGTCCCCCCTGCATGGATGCACCTAAACCCTAAACTGTCCTCGAGACGAAGCTGAGTCTGCTACGGTATGGGGTTTAGGAATTTGCAGATTCCTGACCAAAACTTTGCCACCCTGTGACTAAAGGGACTCTACTGGGAACCCCAAACAGGGAACCCCAAGAATATAGTAGGAATATAATAGAATATGAGGACCCTGGTAGGTATATTCCTTTTATAGTTCTTCCATATTCTTGGGGTTCCCTGTTTGGGGTTCCCAGTAAAGTCCCTTTAGTGACCTCAATGCCTCCGAAGGCAAAGTGCAAGAAACCATGCTTGAAGGCTCAAGGGACTTGGTAAGTGGGCTAGAAATGGGGTTATACTTTAAGTTCCCTAGCTTGCTGGTTCTTAGTAGGGAATAAGGCAACGTGTTATCTAGGGATTTTACAGGGATTACCTTCCCTAGCCTAAACCCTAAACTCTGAACCCTAAACATTTTACAGGGAATACATGTCCTTCTACTAAGAACCAGCAAGCGAAACAAGGCCAGCCTGCTTCTAAACCCTTTTGTAACCTGCGAAGTCCCCGGAAGCTCTACTTGGAGGGGCAGGGGGACTTAGTAAGCAGGTTGATAAGAATCCCAATTATCCTATTTTTAATCTACTTACTAAGTTCCCTGCCCTCCAAGCTGCTCCTGCTGACGAGGATTTGCTGCCATTCCACGCGATGTGCACTGGAGCCAAGCGCTGGATTTGCTACGAGAAGCTCGCAGCCAGAAATTGGGCAATGAGGCCGGGATTCAGGATATGGAGCATACGTATGACTTACACCCTAAAACCTAAACTTCCTGAAAAAAAAACTTCCTGAACCCTCATTGTGTGAGGTGCAGGTTAGAGTTGAGGTTATAAGTTTGGGCGATTGGGTGTTGCAATTTGTTGTTGCCATTTGCACCCTCTCTTTCCTGCACTACCCACCCCTGAACTAGGGCACGGGGAACAGCGGCCTCATTAAATGCCCCTCACTATTTAAGATTTCTCGGCGACATGGCCGAAAGAAGAAAGTAAGCTCTGTAAACTCTCAATGGGGGTTTCCCAAAATGAGGGGTACCTTTTGGGGGCTCCATCTATTTGGATTTTTGTAATTTGACTGCTATATTGGGGCCTCCCTACTTTGGAAACGACCACATCCCAAACCCCAAGCCCCAAACCCATGAAACCTGGACCCTAATGTTCCCCTCATAATAGACCCCCCTCCGAGGAAGTGTGCCCTAGCCTCTGTAATTAAGGATATCCGGGTCCATGAGCTGGAGCTCTAGTCGTCGTAGCCAATAGTAGTACTAGCCAGTAGTACACATTGCTCTTCCGGCGCTTCCAATTTTTTGCGGTTTGGCAGATATTGGATTTTGCAATTACGGGCGGGGGGTGGCTTACGTTCTGGAATTTGTATTTTGCAATGGTTCATGGGTTTATGAAAATGAGGTCAGCATCAAGGCCTCTACCCCCTACGCAAGCCAATAAGGTCCTTGCATTTCGGCCAGGAGGCTTGCAATATTGAGCATAGCCCACGTGTACCTAGACATATACATATACACATATACGTATACAAATGCATACGCATATGATCCGAAGCTCAAAAACCCCTTCAGATCCATATTGGCAATTAGTGTCAGGGGGGTGTCTAGTGTTAGGGCAGGTAGCCACGGCTACGGCCCGTAGAAGTTTCCAAGCATGTCTCCCGTAGAAGCTTATGTTCTTACAACGGAAAATGGAGGACTGCGATAGGGCGGGGTCGGTATCCAATCTCTGGCCCCTTAACTTCCCGCGGGTTACAAACCTGCACGGTCACCACAAATTTGCCCCACCATGCTTATCTATAATGAAGTCTTTAGATCGAATCTATCCCAAAAAGGCCATGCTGCTTCATTTAGGTCCCTGCGCTACAGCGTCCGTCACACGTTCCATCGTCATTCTGCCATGGTAGACCTTTGTGCTTGTCTTGCTGGGGTGGATTGGGCCAGGTGTCTTGTTGAGTGGAGGGAACGGCACAATGAAGGAGCGCCGCCACAGCGCTCTTCATTAGAGGTTATATAGTGAGTATAAGGATTGTGTAGGGGGTAGTTAGGGTTATATAGAGATAATGGAAAAGAAAATGAAAGCTACTATACAGGGTTATTTAGGGTAATATAGGGTTATAGAGGGTGCGGGGAAGGACATGTCCGCTTGAACCTTGCCCTTTACCACGACGCAAGTTCGCAAGATGGCCACGGTACCTCAATTCAGAACTAGTGGCCGTAAGCCCTAAACCCTATAGTCCCCTTTAAGTAGATAGAATATACCCCAGGGATCGTATTTAAAAATACCCAAAGCCTTATTCCATCTACCTAACGGGGACTATAAACCCTAAACCCTGAACTCTGCGGCCTTCCTTCTCATAGCCCAAGCAGGGCTGGTCCCTGGACGTATTCTTCAGCTATCCAAGCTCGAGTGCCCCTTCTTTCTACTCATGAAAAATCATCGCCCCACTTGCGATAGAACTCCTCGTCCGGCCATGAGGTTTAGGGTTTAGGGGCTTATGGTTCTAGGGTGGGAAAGTAAGAGCACTTACTCATGATGTGGCACTTTGGGATAACTGATCATCTTTCCCATGCTTGTATAATGGGACGGCTTTTAATTCATAAATAGTCTTGGGGCCCTTTAACGTACCACCCATTATGCTTATGGGAGGTTTGAATAATTGAATACACGCCTAAACCCTATACCCTAAACCCTATACCCTAAACCATCCTAAACCCCATACCCTAAACCCCTATACCCTAAAACCCTAAGCCGCCCTTGAC